CTGAATCACAGTAGGTTGGGTGGGGTGGTGGGATGGGGCTGGGGCAATAGCGTTCCGGGCAGATGTCCGTGCAAAACAAGGGCAGCTGGGTTCTGAATCAAAGTAGTGGTGGTATGGGGCTGGGGTAATAACGTTCCTGGGAGACGAAGCCTGACTGGAAAAACAAGAACGTCACATGCCAGCGGACATGTCAGCTTGGTTTCGTCGTTGTGTTTGGTTTCCGAATATTCGTTGGTTTCAGAATATTTTTTGTTTCCGAATAATGTTTGGTTTCCGAATCATCGTTTTGGTTTCCAAACAGGGCTTGGTTTCGGAATCATCGTTTTGGTTTCGGAAGAAAACCGCAACCTTCAGAAAGTGTGGGAGACTGGACCGGAACACCCTTCAAGAAGATGAATAAGAATCGTCGACAGAGTCAGCCCGTTGTACGTGTTTGGATTGTTTAGTGGTTGGCTTGCTTTGTCGCATTGCGTTTGTCCAAAGCCATCAGCTACCTCACCTCATCATCCAGTACATGACACCGAAAACTCCCACACAGACCTGTACAGAAAGAACCAAACAATGCTTAAAAAGACTTGAAAACATTCCATTTGCTGCAAACTTTACTGCAACTGTTCAGCCAGACTCGTTTTGCCAGCCAGACTCTTTTGACCCAAACCGGTTCCGCTTGTTTGATCACCTTGACTCACACAGACACTTATTCGCTCTTGAGCGACACCCACCCCAAAGCGAGCCATACACCCCCGCTGCGCTGCAAACCCCCGCTACGCGGACGGCTTCGGCCCGCGGGACGGCTGCGGCCCGCGCGACTGGGAGCCATGGCATACCTCGCAAACTCCCTTTTTGTGAGAAATTTGAGTCCGCAGGCGCATGTCCGGTCACAACGGTTCTCCGTCTTGCACCAGCTTGTCAAGGTTCGCCCTGTCTTCGCACAAAGAAGAATACTGTCAGAGAAAATGCTAAGTATTTTTCTCCACCATGATCAGACCGTCCAGTCCGGGGTGAATAACCATCCAAAACACTCCAATAACAATTAGAGGACGTATTCCACGCTCTTCCTGGCATGATCATTCAGGAAAACCATCCAAAACACATTGCTCCAACGAGACCACTTCCAGGTCAATGAGACGATGATCCGGGAGGTCGGGAGGGCGGACCGCGGACCGCGGACGCTGCGACCAAACAGCTAAAAGCTTCAGGATCCTCACAGAGAGACCTCGAAGACTATACAAACCCAGAAACCATTTTAAACCCCTTCTTTCTGAGATAGGAAAGGCCTTGTTCTCGATGGTTGGTAGTGCAAAACAGAGATCACTTCTGCCAACTGACGACTTCGGTGGTTTTTCCGTCAGCGTTCTTGGATTGTTTGCCGTCTTGGTGAACCCCGAGCTGCCCCGAGCTGCCAGATCTTCGCGAGCTGCGATGAGATCGAGAAAGTGATCTTCAAGTTCCGGGCCCAAGAGCTGCGGAGTGAAGTGGCCCCAACAACTGGCGGAGTGAAGGTTCCAGCTGAGTAAGCAGCTTGGGATAGCTTGGGCGGATTTCTAGCTGAGGTGTGTTTTTGGAGTGGAGTGGCTGAAACATGCTGTTTTGATTTGTTTAGCATGTGTTTAATTCTTTTTACATGTTTACACATGGTTGGACCATTGTTCATGTCCTGCAAAAAAGACCAGAGGAAAAGGTAGAGCTCACTTGGCGATGTCATGCGATGTCCATGGATGTTGGTCCATTCGAGCATGCATGTCACCGGGTGACTCCCGAGGGGGTCGGTGCGGCGGGTCCAACCGTGGCCGATCCACGGCCTGAGGCCATACCCAAACAATGAAACCCAGTTCTTCGCGCAGATCAACTTCAAGACGGGCTCCGAAAAAGAATGAAAAGATGGGCGGGTGGGCTCCGGGTGGGTTGCTTTGCTTTTGAGAGATTTGCAAAGGGTGGGCAGATGTGGGTGTTTTGCTGGGAGGTGCAGCTGTTCCAGAGAACCTGGCTTTCTAGTGTTTACTGTATTTCTTGCAGTATGAATATACTACGCATGTGCAAACTGTTTTTCAACAGATTCATACTTTTCGGAAGAGTGTTCCCTTGAAGTTAGTTCTGTGAAAAGCGAGCGAGTTGCACAGGTTTCTACATCCTCGTTGGAAGGATGTAAGATGACCAAATCCGGTGTTGGAGTTGGAAAGTGGGAGATGCCGTGGAAATCCTGGCCAATCCCAACTCTACGACCAGGCGCCTGAATACTGTGAATCCAAATAAATCCAAGGCATTCAGTGTCTAAGACTAGGACGACCGTCGACCGTTTGTATAGGGCGTCTCTATTCTTCCATCGGAATGTGACGAAGTCGGTCCGACGCCAAACCGATCCGACGGACACTCCGATCTCCGAACGAACTGGACTGTCCGATCTTGAAGTCATTGACCACAAGAAAAAAGCACGGATGTGTTGCTTGGCGAAATCAGTCCGGATCCCCTCGGTGGGTTTTGTTCCGGTGAAGTATGGCTGTGGGAAGCAATGTGAACCATCAATGTTGATCCTCGAATGTATTCAAGTGGCTTCGCGACGAGGTGGTCGGCCGCACCGTTTTGCTTCGAGAGAGACAGAGGTCGAGCGCGTTTGGAAAGGTCAATTCATGTCCAGTCGCCAACAATCCGGGAGGTTGCGTAGCCGAATGAGCAGGGCATCGAGATATAGTTTGTTGTAGTCACTCTAGTCTCGACCCCTTGAAGGCACTGTTGGACAGAGTATGAGTTGGACCATCAGGAAAATGTACCATTTCAAGGGGTTGAACAAATGATATATATTATATATATATATAATTATATATATACTGTATAAAAATAGAGTCACAATGTACAATCAAATTTACAGTATGATGTTAACCTGGAGATGACAAGTACTACAGGACCCGGTCCATCAAAGTCATACTACTACTGTCTCGATTTCTTTGAACAGCTTGGATCATTTGTCACTGCAAGTATACCACTTCACTACTTCACGTCCTGTCCCGGATCATATGGCGCACCACCTCCACATCAAATATGGCAAAACCTTCCACTTTCCCTGTGACTGTGTCTTTGCATGTTTTCTTCTACTACCACTTCCCCTCCAGACACACCTCTTTCCGTTCTCAAACAAAAAGCCCCCCCCCGCCAGAGCTAACGCTTAAAGAGCTCAGCGCACGCACCCCTCAGAACCTTCGGTTCAGGCGGATGTATCGGATTTTCTCCCACAACGGGGTGAGGAGTCACCGAGTGGGGATGGCTTGTGCACCTCCTCGCGCCCCAGCGACTCACCGGGACTTCCCCGACTCACCGTGGCCTCGGGTGAGTCCGGCCTCGGCGGTTCATCGGTGCGGCGCTTCCTCGGTGCAGGACCTCTGCTGGGGTCTCTGAGGGCTCCAAGCTCAGTGGCACCAAGATTTTAGGCGGGTGGCCCAGCGGACCGGGGCTGTAGGGCCTGGCTGTGGGGGTGGCCGTGGGGTTGGTGGAGCTCGGTGAAGAGCTGACGAGCAGGGAGTCCGGAAGGCTCAAGCCGATGAAGACGTGCATGTCACCTGTCGCAGTGAGGGCGTTGTCGAAGACGTGCAGACTGTTGTGACTGCCAGGTGTTCAATGCATGTGTGGAGTCATTGACCCCATTCGACAGGCAGGTTCGCCGAGTGGCTGCTGGTCATTTGAGATCCCGGAAGGGATAGAAATTAGAGAGGAAGCGTTTTCCTTGGATGCGTCTACTACCTCAAGTACTTACAGGCGATATCAAAGAATGTCTTCCCCAAGGGATCCTTGAGGCGCCTTTGATCAAATAGTGCAGACAAAACCCTTGATTCTTAACATTTGAGTGCAATGAATTGAATCAAACATTGTCATGCCACTGCGATCATCACAGTGGGCTCGGCACAAGGTTGTACAAACCAAGTTTCCATCTAGATCGACTAGCATGTATCAACATCCCATCCCATGGTCGCTTTGGTTTGACCGGCCCAGGCGGAACAGACCCGTCAGGCCACGGTCGCTCAGGCGACGGCGGCCCTGCTCGGGGGCCTGCACGTTCCGATCCTCCAAACGTAGCTTTTGGTCGCGTTGGAGTCGCGTGTTCGTCGTCCGAAACGGAACGCCGCCAAAAATGGAACGAGTGACAGGATGGCCGTTCGAACGATGAACGGACTTGCGAGTAGGGCACTGTTGGTAGGAGTTGTGCGTGCGGAGAATATGTCTAAAATTGTCTAAAGGAATCTGGAGTGATTGCCAGTTCATGGATGACAAGGACAGTTATGGATTTAGCCGATGATTTAGCTGCAGGCTGGAAGGGTCTCAGTTCAGAGAGGGTTTATAGTTTCGAGTGCGTTTCAACCGATGTTGCTCCTTTACTTTGGCGCGTTTCGAAGCCTTCGGGTTGAACGATGTTGAAAGGATCGCTTTGAAGTCCGATGTTTGATGAGGGCACTCTCCAAAGTTTAGAGCTAAGGCAAGGTACCTCTGCAAAAAATTAATGATTTCCTGCATGTAAAAATAAAGAAACACTCCGCTTGGCGTTTGTTTTTGTCATGTGTTGTTCCCCCCTTCTTTGCATTCCTTTCTTCACACCCGATTTCGCCTTTTTTTTGAGGCCTACAGAAGAAGACCAGGCAAACGAAGAGTTTGAGATGCAGGTTGGGATCCAAGCGGAGTTTACAATAGTAAAAAACTTTGATTTTGCGTGCGTGCTCGTGCACATTTAATAGCCAGAAAGCTATGTCGTGCAAGTCCTGCAAACGTGGTTGTAAGAGGATGGCTCAGCATGGGCGCTTCGTATTCATCGGCAATCCTATCCCAGTTTGGAGGATTGTCAGGCTTCAGACACTTCCATCCAATGTTGTTGATAAATTGGTTCCCCATACGGAGATCTGGCACAAATCCCGAGGAGGGGTGATGAATCAATGGTCAACAGTGGAGATATTTTGTGAACTAAAGCCATGCAAAACGTTCACAGTCGTTTGAACACGCTTTCATGCCTCAGAGGCAGCCGTTCACTCAGGCGGAACACGTCCGAAAGGCCAAAGAGGCAGCAGAGGCGAGCTAAAAAGAACGGTATCCACAGACAGAGCTTTGGCACGGGGAACTCCTTGACAAAACCAGAGGTGTTGGGTTTTTCTAGCAAAACCAGGGCGTGTCCTCATGGGGCGTGGTCTCCTTTCGTCCCTCGATTCTGGCAGCCCCAAGAGGGAGATAGATGTGTAGACACACAGAGACAGAGACACGGATAGGTGGATGGATTCGATTCGATTCGATTCGATTCGCGAATAGAATAGAATAGAATAGATAGGTAGGTAGATAACGGTAGATTGATAGACAGAGAGATTGGCAGAGAGAAACAAACAAAGGGTGGATAGGTTGATCCCCTTCTATGTATTTTGGTTGACATGTGTTCCTATCAGACGTCCTATCTATTTCTAGCCACCATGTTCTGTTTTGTTTGATTCTTGAGTGACACTTAGATGCCTCACATGGGAGGTAAAGACAGTTGTTCAAAGAGGATAAATGAGCTTTGTTAAACCGGATGAAAAAGGTATGGAAAAAGGATAAAAAAAAGCGGAAAAAGGGGATGAACATTTGGATCATCGGCCAACAGAGTCACCCTGTGTCGAAAAAGACGTTGCCAAAAACACGCGCCGAATGTCCGTCGCTGGGCCTTTGGGCTTGGGCCAGGAGCTTCGGCTTCGGACGTGCCATATCGCCGGATTAGCAGAGGACATCAAGGAGGAGTCCATCAGGACGGGATTTTTCAAGCCCTGATCAATCAGATCATATCAGATCCCTCAGTCGGCCCCGATGGATCCTGCGCCAAGGTTGTTGATGACAACGTTGCATGGCAGAAGAGGTATGATCCCCCCCATCAGCCACGGTCCAAGAACCATCACTGTAGGACACTAGGACCCCGAGCCTCTCCTGCAGAGCCTCTCCGGTTCCCGGGTTCGGGATGGCCTAAAGCTGGCATGTGAGGGAAGGTCCGAGAGTGTCATTCCGTCATCCTTCATTCCATAAAAGGCGAACCGGCACTGCACAAAAGGGTTCTTTTTGGCACAGCTCGAACAGTAGTTATTGAAGCTGCCGGGATGCAACAATTGAGGAAATGACATGCGCAGATCAGATGTCCAGTATTTCGTGAGAGGAGGGGGGAAAAGAGTAATCCTCATGTACATGGAATGTGGACAAAACCAACCTGGAGTTCCCACATTTGCAGAGATCAGTGTCTATCTACCCTTCTTTGAGTGCTGCCCTTCCTCAAACGAGAATCATGTGATGGGAAACAAGGTTCTCCTCCTCTGGGTGTGCTGCTTTCATTCTTGATGCTCAGAATGACATGGTTTGATGCGCTTAAAAAAGCAAAGACATGCAAAGACTATGGCAGGAAGCTCTGTGAAGGCTTCGGCGAAGTTGAAACGCTGAGGCGCGTGGGTTGTCGTCAGCATCAATAGGGAAATTCAATCAACCAAAAAAGAGAGTGAGCGAAATGGTATTGGTGTTCATCGGGCTGGAGTGGATTCACTGTTGACCCAATTCTTTTTTTCGAAGTGAAATGGGGTTTGCAAGACGGGAAAGCCAAAGAGAGACACGCAGACAGATAGGCACGGCAACCTATATAATAGCGATGGCCTCCAACCTAGCAATGGCCCTCCAACGTAGAAGCGATGGTCCAACCTAATAGCGATGCCCTCCAACCCAATAGCGATGGCCTCCAACCCAATAACCATTGCCTCCAACCTAATAGTGATGGCCTCCTTGCCTCCAACCCAATAGCGATGGCCTCGAACCTAATAGCGATGGCTCCAACCTAGCAATGGCCTCCAACCTAGAAGCGATCAATGTACAAGCGATGGTCTCCAACCTACAAGCGATGGCCTCCAACGTAGAAGCGATGGTCTCCAACCTACTAGCGATGGCCTCCAACCTACAATGGTCACGACATCCAGAACATTCTCTTCTTGGGAGCGACACCCCAACCTCGTTGCAGGATCGACACCGCGACCGATGGCCGGGGGCGCCCGGATTTGGTGCTGGGAAATGTTGGTTCGTCCCATATCGTCCCAATAGCAGGTGGCTTTCACCAAAAAGCTTCATGCAAACATCCACCCACCATTCATGTCCTCTCCACCTCTTGGGACAGAAGGCCAATCCAGAAGGCATGTGGCTCTTGGCTGGTGATTGGCCATTTGGCAATATCTAGGCCGCCAAATAGATAGAAAAGTAGTAGATCCTCACTGCCACTATCTATATTTGGGGACAACGATCAAAACTGTTCACAACTCATAGCATCTAATAACTCTTCACACGACCGAAATCAAAGAACGTGGATGCCTTTGGCGCACGGATCGCGTAGCTTGCAACCGCTTGCGACCACCAACCCGGGACTTTGCCGCGCGACCAATGACGGTGCGCGCGCGTGTGATATGTTGTGTTCACCGTAAAGTCTTGGATGACTGAAAGGAAAGGATGCAAGCGTGGCTTTGTCGAATTCATGTTTGTGGTGGTGTGAAGAGAAGAGTGGCAAGAAGAAGTAGGAGATCCACATCACAGAGAGAAAGCTATATCTCACTAATGTTCACATGACAATGGGAATGTACTCGATTGCTCTTACTTCTCCAGAGTAGTATTATATATAGTATATAGTATATAGTATTATCTTTAGCTAGTGTATAAATATATATAATATATCGTTTGCGTTTCGTGGGATGTTTATATCTTGCGAAGCTTGCCCTGAGGCCAGACCTTCGGATTGGTCGAGTTCAAGGACTTCTGGTGCTGAATTTACCGGCCAGGTTCATGTTTAGGTGTTGAATTTCTGAGACGAGTCAGAATGCATGTTGCCATTTGGCAGCTGTTCAAAACAAATATGGGTGCTAAGAAGAAGCTTGGCCGCAAGTTGCACCAAGACAAAGCCAGTTTGGACTCATTTCGTTCCCTGACCGTCGGCCGTGGGCCGGTCAGAGGAGACCAAAGTCGCACATGCCGCAGCCTGAGTGGCGTTTGGGGTGCTGTTTTTCGTGGGGAGCGATGTGGAACCACCGGAACCACCGGACATGATCGGTTCCTGGTGTCCCCTGCGTGCCTTTTGTTGTGCCTTCATGGTTTTTCGTGTTCAAAAACTTCAACACAAAACGATTGCAAAGCGCCGCAACACTCCAAATGCCAATTTGCCAGAGTGCGTTCAAGACTGACTCACTGTTGAGGTGGTCAAGATGCAAAGATCTTTCTTGGTGGAGGACCGCGTGTTGGTCTTCACTGAGGCAGGAAATTCTACAAAACACTGGTCAACGACATAGCGGGGAAATGCGGGGAGGTTGAATGAAGCGGCTGTTCTGCTGTATACCATGGCCATGATTGCCGTGAACTGGATGTGTTCACTTCGACCATTGCAAACCATGGCTACAGGACCCTGCCATCGGGGTATTGACATGTTTGGGATCACAGCAAACTCCACAATTGTTCTGCTTCTGAAACTGAGAGTCAATTTCGTTCTCCAGACTTGTACCTAGCCTCCACTGGAAAAACAAAAAAAACATGCACGAACTGGATGTTTGTCGAAGGCGAAGTCCCATGTGGACAATGCCAAAGTGGAAGAGATGCCAGGGCCCCAGACGTGTCGCGCAAGGGGTTCGCACCTCGACACGCTAAGCGCAAGCACCGAATGCGCTGACAAGAAGAAAGACCCGGCTGACCACGGCCCAACTGCTTGGCAACCGGTTGTCCAAGGTTCCTTTCTCTTTGGAACCGGAACTGGAACTGGCTACCATTTTCGGGCCAAAGAATTGATGGCCATGTTGGAAATCCCAAGCACGAAATTCACCAACTGATGCAATTTGGAAGTCATGGAATCCACATCAATTTGTGTCTTGACCTCCAAAAACGGAAAGCTTCCGCTCCAAACACGTGTCCCATCTTCGGACTCGCCTCAGGACGGTGCAGTTTCAGGCCCCGGCCGCGCTGCTGAGCACCGCCGCGCTCCGTCCACGGCGCTCCGATGGCGCCGCGCGGAACGCCGTCCACTGCGCTGGCCGTATCGCATCAGGCGCCCATCATCGATGCGATGAACATGCGATCCGTCCGGGGTCCCCGAGTTCCGCACGGCCGGACGGAGCAGTGGGCCGGAACCGGCCGGGCGTGTGGGTGGGGGTGGGTGGTGAGATGCCGAGGTCCTGGCGCAGCAGGTGCCGTTGGCGGAGAAGTTGGCGAAGGCGCACCTTGGCCTTCTGGAGCTAGGGCTGGGGAGCTAGGGCAGGGTGACCACATCCGGTGGATTTCATGGCACAGATGACAGGGAACTATTAGAACGACGGATTTGCAAAGGGAACATTCAGTGTGGATTCCGCCAATGGTCAAGTCAAGCAGACAACCTTGACTGGAATTCCCATAAAGTGTATAGTGATTCTGATGCTAAAGCCAAAACAAATATGGTTCATAGTCTCTGAGCATGCTCCGGACACCCAAATTCCAGGAAATGCGTGGCCTCTAAACGATATCCACCAATCGGATGCTTAGTGTAATGATATGTACCCTCCGACTCACTAACATGGAAGTGGAAAATGACCTTTGGGAAGACTATTTTTATCTACAAACAGGGTGGTTTTCACCTCCATGTTAACTGTTAGTGAGTCGGAGTCTAAAGTAGACTTTCCAGGTACAATCCCAAAACGAATTTTGAAGTTCAATCCAGCTACAGTACATTCTCTAAAGCTGGATTCATAGTTGTCATACCTGGTGGTTCCAACATGTGTGTCCGTTTGAGTTGACAGGTGAAAGCCGCTGCCACAGAGATCTTGCCAGTGTCTTTGGCGTGGTTTGGAGGATTTGTGTCTTTGTGTCACTGTAGCTGAACTTTTTTTGATGTCTTTGTATCTATATAGATCCAAAAGAAAAAGCCCTAGGATGCGCATAATTAATTATGTACTATGCAAATTAGATGTTTGAGTTGTGCCATTTTCCACTTGTTCTTTACATTGCGATCTATATCGATCTATCACCTCAGTTACCTATCATTTATCATGGCCATTACATTCCACGCGTTCGCCAGGCGACGTCTCGCGAGGCCAAAGAGCCCGCGGTGAAGGCGAGAAATCGCGCGGGGTGACGCTTGGGAAATCCACCTGGGGGTTCCTTCCAGAGAGGGAGTTCCCCAGAAACAGACTGGTTACTACGTGCCTCTCCTTGCCTCTTTGTTCTAGTTCTTCTGGCGGAACGGGTTGTGGCTGTGCGACCTGGGGCTCGTCGGCAGAATCAGGGCAGAATCCGGGCAGAACCCCCGAAAGTGCGAAGGTTAAAGAAAAGGTCATTGTTCTCACACGAATACATGTACCAGACGGGTGGCACAGCCGGTCTTTGAATGGCCAAACCTCGGGCCGGCCACGTGAGTGGGTGTTTGTAGACAGTGACGGTTTGACCACGTCTTAGGGGTGGGAGGGTTGAAGGGTTGAAGGTTCTTAGGATTTCTTAGGGCTTAGGGTCATGACGACTTTCCACATCTTTTCCATTCATCCAGACTTGCCTGCTTGTGGCGGATAGGTGGCTGATAGGTCGTACTGGCAGCTTCAGTCATCTCAGCCCGCTGTGAAGGAAAAAGAGAAAAAGGAAAAGAAATTGAAAGACAAAAAGGCGTGGTTAGTTGTTGGGTTCATTTCGCCTCAACTCGTGTACTTTGAAACTCGCTTTGCTTCTCCTTCCTGGTGGCTAGTAGGAGCTTCGTTTGACTTGACAGTCACTTGCAGGAGTTAAGATATTGGACCCGTCTCTGCATGCAGGATAAGAAAGAAAAGAAAGAAAAGAAGAAAGATAAAAATAAAGAAGGACTGCCAGAAGGGTACCATCGTGGCTCTTTCTAAGAACGGACGTTCTGCATGCGTGTGGCATTGTTCCAGCTGTGCTGAAAATGCAAGACGGATGGATTGAATCCATCAAGTGGGAGGTCACCAGGTCACCAACCTGCTCTGGCTTGCTTCTGATCGACACATTGCTTCCTGTCTAAGTGAGTTCACCTTGTGACCGGTGCTGCACAGAGGAAAAGAAAAGAAAGACAAGAAGCACTGCTCTCAGAGCTTTCGACTTCTCGACGTTTGGGGCTCCCACGGGGGATGCAGCCCGGGGCTCCAGGGCTGCTGGGGGGGTATGCACTGCGTACGGATCATCACAGCACGAATCAGGTTTGAACAAGTTGTGCAAGGGTACCCCTGTTGGGGGGTCCACTTACTAGTAGGGGACACGAGAAGCGGAAGCGGCAGATTATCAAGACATGTGTGGCAAGTCTTTTGATGGGGCAACTGGGCAACAGGCCTGATGGTGAAGGGCACCGATATTTTTGCTTGGATCTGCGCAAGCAAGCCCTCCAAAACAATATCTTGTTGAAAGAAACCTCAATTGGCGGGAGACGGTTCCAAAGGGCACAGCCCTGCAGCGCCGGTTCCTCACGATCACGGGGTTCCCGCGAAGTGGGAGGGGTGACATCAATGTGTCCATCAACAGGATGTGTTGGATGTGTCCCTCCAAAATCCTGCAAATCGGACGGTCCCACCTTGTGTTTGAAGCCACTTTTGGATTTGGGGACGGATCCAACGTGATCCAATGTGATCCATGATCAGACGGTTGCTTTCGTGATAGCAAATGCTCGTAGGTCGTAAGAAGTGCCCGCACACGTTTATGTTCGATGCGTCTTAAAAGTATGAGCAAGGTGGCTAGTCAGCTTGCTAGTTAGCGGAAGGCCGCTTTCCACTGCATTCCATGCCATAAGGAAAGACAAAGAAAAAGAGAAGAAAAAGGAGACAAGAAGCTCCTGGCATTACTACTTAGGAGCAAGGAGGCTACTAGTAGCTCCTGGCATCGCTACTAGGAACAATAATAAGCTACTTTGGGCGCTCCTGGCCTTACTACTAGGAACAAGAAGCTACTAGTATAAAAGGACAAGAAGGACTTTCTCACTCACGGATGTTCTTGGACGGTCAGTACTTCAGCATGAGTCATGAAGCTTGAATGGTCAGGAAACAGTGCTGAACTGGGCAGCAAACCACTCAACTGAAGCATACAGGGAGGTCGGTTGCACAGCTGCTATTTTGCTTCTGATATATTGTGCAGAAGGTGCTGGAATGCAGGTGGGAGCAAGGGATGAGATGGATGCCAAGCAAACATAGTACGTGGAAGACATGAGAGGGATTTGGAGTAGGAGGCATAGAGGAGACCAACAATTCCGAGGCAAAGAATATCCCATTATCCCATCACATCTGGGCTGTTGCATGAACGAACTGAGCACCAAACAGCTTGTTTATTTGGGGATGAGAGCCACTGACATGTTTTTCTGCAAGTGCAAGGAGAAGAAAGGGGAGGAGATGGAGAAAGTTTCCGCTCCGCAGGCTCCGCAGCCGAAGCGACCAAAGGATGAAGCTGAGGTCTGGGATGGGCCATCGACGGGGTCACTTTTCTTTGAAAGTGTTGCCTGAAAATAGCCATAACGGCCACTTGCTGAGTGGGGCAGGCGGCTCTGAACACACTTCCAGCCCTTTGTACTGCACCAGGGAACTGTCGATAGAACCAACATTCCCTCCTTTGGGCAAGATTAGCTTTCTTGCTCATTGCGAGAGTCACTGGGTAGATGCTAGATCATGCTAGCATGCAGCGCGAATGAGGAAAAATTGAATGTCATTTCTTCAGCAGATACATCACGCCAGGCTGAATTGATGGAAGAGGAGGAAGAGGCCGGTTGTCAGGTGTGAACGGCTTGTTAAGCCCCTAAAATATCACCTAAACAAAGAATCCGTTAGAACACATATCCAAGACTAGCCGGGCTGTTCTCCTGATTTGCACGTTTTCACGTTGGATCCCGAGGTGCAGTACGGTCCGACAAAATAAAGTAAATAAGAACATCGGAAGATGTTCGTTGTCAAGGTCCGGACGCCCCATCTTTGCAGGGTTGACTCTCTTCTCCAGATCCCAAGCTCCTTTTCACGAGGAACCGGAACCCAAAAAAAGCGTTGATCATGGTTGATCACGCCAAGCACCAGAAAAATATGAGGAAACTAAGATGTTGATTGAAGCGAACTGGAGCCTTTTGCGCCGCTTCGGGTAACCTGGAGCATTTGCACCGAAAAAAGCGACCCAGGAAGCCCAGTAAGCTCGGTGGTCTGTGGTGGTGTGCAAGAATTTTGGGAGTCGAATCCGAGTGCGAAAGATGAATGATCTCTAAGATCTGGGTCTTCAAAAGAATGTGAACAATGAGAGAAGGGCAGTCCTATGAGGTGCTGTGGCTGGAGTTTTCACGACAGATTTGCGCAGGAAGAAATGGTGGACATCGATGAAGAGGTCGAGGCTCCAACCTTAGGTATGATATTATGGTATGATTGGAATGTTCAGTGAGGCAATGAAGAAGGTCAAAGGCAAAAGTCGGATAAAGAGGTATGTTTCTTATCATCACAAAAACCCGTATAGAATGCTTAGCCTCTCCTTGCTTGCTGCTCCTTCAGCCAGGCATCATTTTTTGTGTTTTTCGTGGAGCACCACACTCTTGGCCTACCCTACTCATGGCCGGAGGTTCTGCCCGAGGGTGAAGTAGTAGGCCTGGTGGGCACCTCTTCGTTCGAGCCTGAGAGAATATGTTCTCACTTTCAATGGCATGTGCCCAGAGTCACGACTAACATCACTTCATGCTACGAACTAGGCCAATCCCATGCCAATTTGATCCCAGTTGTCTTCACCTTTCATGGTCGTGCTCACAATCCCTTTGCCCACCCTCATCCAGTCCCTGTTCGAGGTCCTCGTCCAGCTCGAGCGCGGGGACTCCTCAGCCGTTGACCATTTGGGTCTCAAGCAGATTGGTGGTCCATGCGATCCCAGTGGGGTGAAAAACGGCGAAACTCAAACAAAGAAAAAAGCAGTGCAGGTTCACATGAAGAGAAGAAGTGGTTGCATGTGGTTACTGACTAATTCCAGTGATCCAGTGATGCAGTTGGCGGTTTTGACCCACCCCAAATGTTGATTCCGATGTTGTTTCAGGTGCTTGTTTCTCTTAGTGAATCACAGGACGAGCTGAAACAGGCTTCTGCGAAGACGTCAGTGTACACATGGTCTAAGGTTCATGGGGTCGGGGCTTCAAGAGGATGGGCTTTGTGCTTTTCGGTGGTTAGACAGCACGTTCTCGCAACGTCAGACAGCATGTCAGACTGGGACTATATATCTGGGACTAAAAACGCACACGTGTCTTGACATGACTCTTTGGACGCCCATCCCCTACACCAGCCAAGTGTCCCATGACTTCTTGCACCATGCGCCGCGCCCAGGACTATGGCGCCGATGCGCTCGTGGAACTACCCATGGACGTCTCGAAGCCTGATGAGGTCTCTGACGTGGGGGGCACCCAGTCGGGCGGTGCTTTCGTTCAGGGGACCTTTGCAGCACGAACCGACGAAAGGCGTCGGCGGAGGCCATCGCCATGGTAGAAGGCGTGAGTTGGACGAAAACGCTGGGAGGTTGGAGATGGATCAAAATGGAGGTGCTGATGTTGATAGGATAGGATGATTAGATATAATGAGGGTGATGCCGATTTGGAATAGATGTTCTCCAGAAGGTTTGGAGAGCCGTCAGATGTTTTGAAGATGTGAGTGGCCTGGCCAAGGGGTCCACTCTTGCCCTTTGATGGTCACTGCCCTGAGAATCGCCCTCAAACACAGAGGGTTTGGTTGGTTCAGGTCCCCCCTGCGTTTCGGTCGGGTCGACCCCCATGGAGAGCCCCAGCATTCTTAAGGTGATATTTATTGGGTTTGTCCTATTGCCTGAAACAGTCAGTAAACATTTATGTATATATATATATGCATATCACTATTTTTGAACAAGACCTGCAACCTAACCATAATCATCCACTGCTATATACTGGTAATAATCAGGACAAACCCCAATGTATATATCAGGCACTTCATGGCAAAGAGTCTTTGACTTTTTCAACGTGCGGTGCCTTGAGCACTCACACGCCGGGCGTTTCACCCGGGCTCGGCGCCGGTCCCCGGTCCGCATGGCCGTGTCGCCTTCCCGAGGGTGACGATGTGCTGTGTGACGCTCCGCCAGATGCCCAGAGATCCGATGGGCGCGTCCGCCGCACGCGCAAGCAGGAAGCGGAGGACATGGCGAGAAGGCGACCGGACAACATCGACCAAAAACCCCATGGGGACACTGCAAAAGCATTTCGCCCCTTTAATTGAAATGCCTCAGGACGCCGCTGCGACCTAAAGGCAAAGGAAAGGGTAAGGCGGGAGAGCTGGGCACCGCTTGACCAGTGGTTTGTCGGGCACACGTCGACGGTTGCTCGGGCATGGACTGGGCCGTTCGGTTTGGCATGTTTGGCGTTCTTCTTTCACGGCCGAAGACAGAGAACGAAAGAAACACATGGATCCGATGCATTCTGATGCATTCCTGTACAGTGTTTGAGTATGTGTGAGTAAAGTGAAACTTGTACTTACAGTGTCAGTTGCGATGACTAGTGATAGATGTGATAGTTTTTGCCATTTGAAGATGGGGTTTCACCCTGCAACCCATGATGCTCCCCACAACCCTGACGGTTTCGCCAGGTGCCCCGCCGTCCGCCCGGCGCGCCGCCGGGCGGACGGGGCGGACTGGGCATGCGACCCGCACGGGCGCCGTTCACGCCGGCGGTTTGCCCCAACCGGCGCGCGCCGGGCGGCTCAGTCCCCGAATCCGAAGCGAGGTCTTGTTATATCTCCTTTGTCTGACTAGAATAAGAGCTTTTAGTTGAGAAGTCATTACAGTCACAAGATCGTGCAAGTCAAGGCTTGAGGATGCTTGTTGACCCCCAAACAATGCGGGGAACGTGAGTCGCTAAGGGCGGTGCCATCGCTCGGCGTCGCACCCGATCCTCCGATCCCGACGCAAGGCACTCTAGTAGTGATCAACTTCATTTCATGTTGTTTGTTGCTAGTCGGTGCCATCATTCTTCCAGGTCCTATAGAGCTGTTGTGTCTTTGTTTTTTGCGGTGTGATCCTTGTTTTTCGCAGAAGAAGTGCGCACTCCCTCACTTCCGACATGCTCACTTGCTAGAAGTCGGAACTTCTTTCAAACACTCGGAACGAGATGACATGAGATGACTAAGATACTTGAACTTGACTGGGACAGGAAGTGCTTTCTCCGGTTGTGAACCGAGTTTCTCACTAGGACCTGTATCAGTAAGCCCGTGTATGATGTGTTGTTGATCTTTCAAAGGACTTGGACTTGACGACAAGGCAGAGCTCGTGTTGAACCAATTTTTTGGGGATGTGAAGTGTTGTTTCTTTCCCCACAGCCATTTGTCACATTGTGACATGTGGCAAAAGACCCTAGATGAACATCACCCATTTGGAAGACCAGGCACCGCTAAGTGTCTTCAAGAATGAATCGGTGCAAGACGGACAAAGGGGGAGAGGCCGAGAGTTGAGGCATAAGCCATTACCACTCATCCTTTTTCATCCTTTTCCCATTTCCAGATCATCATCATCATCGTCGTCGTCATCATCATCATCATCATCGTCATCGTCATCGTCATCGTCATCGTTGTCGTCGTCGTCATCATGTGTTCTTTCTTTCTTGATGCACTCCGAGGTCGAAGTTTGTGTAGACCTGGACAATGCCATTGGTCCGTCCTGTTCACCACGAAGGTCTCAGGCCAAAGCATCCAGGTAGGCACCCAGTATCATCGTTCAGATGCACAGGCACACTGATGGTCATGCCAAAGTAGATGCTACATTGCCCACTGTCAGTGACAGCGGCATTCAGACACAAAAAACCGCACGGAAGCCTCAGAGCGGGACCATAGATCCTCATTGTTGAACGGGTGGTGCAGCAGCTTCAGTCAGCGTTCCAAGGGTGCTCTGAGGTGGGATCAAATCTCATATGTATATTGAAAAACGATCTCCACCGAAAAACCGCTGGAGAACCTTCCGATTCCAGCCAAGACACTGATTGAGCTCCTCGGTGCAGATCACAAACCAACCATAGAGGACAGTCATTGCAACGCACCTCTTCTGACAAAGGATGAACTCGAGCGGGTGGGGTGTACATCATGTAGCCACCAGCCACTGCATTCCATGATAACAGTTCGACAATGCCCTGAAGAGTCTTCAGTGCCAAGGCTGCCAAGGTTCACCATGGTGTGCGGGATGACATCCATGTTCAAAGTCAGGTCAGGAAAGGTCATCTCCTTGAAGGTCACCAAGTCTTGGTGAACAAGGATCTCCAGGTGGGTGTAAGTGGTACAAGCATGTAGCCCTAACGGGAAGAACGGTGCTTGTTCAGGTACAGGTCCACTAGCAAGGTATTGCCTTGGTGCTGCAGGTCTTGACAGCAATGGACACATTGGTGCCGTCCAGGAGCTTGATCTGGAAGGGCCTGAAAGGTCCTTACTGTGAGCGTATGGGCGTGGTCCAGCTTCTTATGTTGGGGTAGACCAGCCGTCCACAACCCACATAGGACACAGCTATCAGAAAGTTGCAGAGCATCTGATCTTCCTGCAGGGTCTGAAAATTTTTCGGACACCAGCTTCATTGATGTCCAGAAGTCAGCATCTGGAGGTCTCCAGAAGCTGTGGTGAATCGAGTGCACCTGCCCAAGCCCTTTTCCTGACCGGTGCATCTCTTGACGAGGTTGGCCTGGAACAGGACTCATAGTATCACGCCCGGTGCCACAGTGCTTTGTAGACTATCCTGAGGGCTGAGCCTATGTCCACCAGTCCATGTGGCTGGACTGGAACCCTCGCACCACCATGCAGCTGCAGGTGCATTAAGAACGGTCATGAAGAGGAACCAAACAAAAAAGTTCAGAGAGGACCTCAGCCTGAATGCATGGGGTTTGGGATCCAGGTGAGTGCTCTGGGAGATGATTCTTAAACAGCTCGATCATTGCCTGATTGAGGAGGTGCTGTGGTGGTAGGTCTGGTAGTTCAGCCTGAGACCTGTGCCGGTGCTCCAACGCCAGGTCAGATGCAAGATGAACAGGCTCAGAAGAGTAAGGTCAGGAGGTGAGAGTTCATGAGCAAGGCATCGGATCAGGGTGATCATGATGACAAGCAGCGCAACAACGGATCCAAGGTGGCGAGGTTCCGGAGCGCCTGACCACATGCAAGAGGATCAGCACGGAGGGCAAAAAAGGTAAGCAGGGCAGCTCGTTTGAGCCCTCGTGGCCCTTATCATCATCATCATCATCATCACCATCATCGTCATCGTCATCCTCATCATCATCATCATCATCATCATCCTTCACCTTTTCCATCACCCGTGATCCATCTAAATGGTGATGGGTCAAAACTTGAAGCCCTGATCAACCACATAGCGAACGACCAACACCAGATAGGTCAACCAGGGTAAGCCTGGCGCCATGACTCAGCGCCTGAATAATACATTAATGATCAGTAACGATTAACTTTGTTTCTATGAATGTCTTATTAACAGGTTGCGCGTTTTAATAGAATATGTTCAGTTTGTTTCTTTCCCACCGGATGTCGCTTTCTCCCAGGCTCCGAGCCGCTGCGCGCGTCACAGGTGGAAGGGCCTTTTGGGACGGCGCCGCGCGAAGAGCCACAGAATGACCAGTGCAACGGTTGGACCACTTAATTGGAAACGGTGTTTGTCCCGTGGCATCTGGATGAAAAGAGCGGTCCTTGTCGGTGTGTGTGTGTGTGTGCGTGTGTGTGCGTGACACCCTTCGAGTCACAGGGATTCCGTTGAAGTTGTTCTCACTTTTTGCCGTGCTTTGGTCTCAACCTCTACTTTGGTAGACGCTTTATCGCAGGGGTGCCAGGGACCGCGCAAGTCTGGCAATAACAAAGACGCTTGCATTGGTCTGTGATATCAACTCGGGACGCCGAGTTGACGTACCTGCTCCGAACACATTGACGCCACTGGTCCTCCCTCGCTCGGGCTGTTTCCAGGTTCATCGGGTGATGTAATGCGCAAACGAGTTCTGCAGATGCGCACACTCGCCGTCATCCCGTCGCTCTCGTCCACTTTTCGAGCTCGTCTCGATTGGTGAATTTCAGGGAGGTTTTTTTTTGAGGCCTCATGGTCAGAATGCCTTATTTACACTCACCTTGGTGTCTTAGGTTTTTACTTAGGCTGGCGAGTGGCAAACCGCAATCGTGTCAGCATGCATTTCCTAAGTGTGTGAATCGCGGGTTTGATCTTAATCTTAGCGTGGTGTCTGGTTTTGGAAAGAATTCGATTGGTTGAAGGTGTCATACGCGAAGATTGAAATCACTTACGGCCAAAAAGAAGCTCAAAACGTATCGGCATCATTTTGTGCGGCGGCAGCGAATCCGGTCCCTGGCCCCAGACTATATTCGGGGCAGACCGTTACACCTACTCTAAATCTGACCAAAAGCGTTCCCGGTACTTGAAAGCAACCAGATTGATTTGTATAATTGATGTAGTAGACGATTGGATATTGTTGAGTCAAACCTCTTGTCTCTAGAATGGCTTGATATCTCCATGTCTACTGTTGGTTTTGGTTCATCCACCCTGGGATCTGTTGGCATCATCTCTTCGTCGCGGATGCTTCGCGCTGCGCCGCGAACGCGCGAGGCGCCATCGACTTGGACGACGCAACGGGCGCCATCGATTTAGGTTGACGCAGAGGTACGGAAACCATAGAGGAACGGAGCACATGGCACGCATAGATCTGGATCACGGGGTCAGAGGTCGCAGCTGGTTTTTTGGTGTTTCTTGTTTTTCTTCACTGGGTGGTGTTTTTGTTCCAAGGCATGACCTTTTGATGCATGTCTTTGGGTCTCAAGAACTCTTGCCCCGATCGTTGGTTGTGTCACCCCATAGTATGATGCAAATCATATTTTAGCTTAAAACAGCAAAGCAAATGAAAGACTGGACATATGATTGGATCGTTTGAACCAAAAAATGGTTTTGCATTTGTTGTGATGAAAAATACTTGTTTTTGCAATTCAAAATGATTCCAAGAGGTTCTCACTAGCATCATCAGTAGTAATGAGGCATACTGTAGACACCTATAGACGTTGCTTCAACAATGTACATTAGCTGCCACACGAGTGCCTCTTCGATGCTTTTCAGCTTGTCGTATTGCTTTTCTGCTTCTCGTATCCGGAACTTGTTTATTCCGGATCTTGTGGAAATAGTTGCTTGCTACCAACCCTCCGCCCAATTGACATCGCTATCCAAAAAGACTTTTTGGTGATGGCATGAATACAGGTTGGTTTGACTTACTGTAAATGTGTGGTATTGGTTGAACACAACACCCATGAAAACCGTTGTATGTATCTATATTTTAGCGGTTTTGTTTAAATCATTGATTATACTAACATAGAACAGTTCTTTTAAGCAACAATACACTTTTGTATTTATATGCATGTTTCATACTGAAATTGCTTCATAAATATTAGCTCTGGAAAGGTTAAATAGATGCTTTTTTTGAGTTGTATAGAATAGCTTAATAAGCAAAAAGAAATTAGGTTACTTATTTTCGAATGCGCGGGTTGGATTTGGGGATTCGTGTTTGTTTCGAGAGGTTTGGTGGGTCGGGCCTAGTTGTCGGGTCGTTGTGGATCGAAAATGTGTTTTATGGGGAGAATGTGTTAATTTGTGTGTGAAATATTACGCAAATGTGGTACAGGTTTCATGTTTCGTGAAAGTTTTAAGTGTTTGGTTATAATAAATTGGTGATTGCAGGGTGATTTATTAGAGATATTGATATTGTTATAAAAATAAAATTAATGATTTTTATTTTGTTTATATTAATAAAAAAATATATATAATATTAATTAATAAATTAATGAAATATATTATAGAAAATAGAATTGATATAATATATTAACGAAATATTTGTTTGATTATTTTATAATTAAATATATATATAGTATAAATATTTATAGATTTTGGTTACCTTTTTGGCTTATAGAATGGGAGGAATGAATTTGATAAAGAAATTATAGATATTAGGGGATAGGAGAATAGGAAGATTTTTTTTTAAATAAAGAAAATGAATTGATTACATTTTGATTTTAATTGATGGGAATTATATTTATTCGATTCGTAGTTATTTGATTATTAATTTGATTAGTGTTTTTTTGGATTATCGATTGTCGGATTTATATAATATTAGGATATATTTTATTAAACATATAAAATCGAATTTCCGTATTTAATGAAAAGTATAAGGGATGGGAAATATATGGTTTGTTTATAAATGTTTTCTCTAAAATTTGGTAATTTTTACATGTTTTTTCTTTATTTAATGATATGTTTTTTTGATTTTATTTTTATTATACATATAGATTTATTTGTAGATTTATTATGGAAATATATTTATTGTTTATAATAAAATTCTTTATGATAGATTATATATTGCCAATATTGAATGTGCATATTTATATAGGGCCTGGTAATTCTTTAGGCCTATTTTATTTTTATAAAATGGTCTGTTTTGAATTTCTTGTTACTGTAAAGATTTACTTTTGGATTTCTTTATTAAAAAAAGACTAACAATCTATTATATATAGACAGATCTATTTACGTTGGGACCTAATCCTATAGATTTGGCTGGCAGGATTTGGAAAACAAGCCTCTTCTTAAAAAATGGCATACCTTGACCCCCGCACCATTATATAAAAATATCTATTTATAAATTTATTGGAAAATAAAAAAAAATCCTAGGGTCTACGGCAGCATTTTTTATGGTAGGGTGAACATTTTATGGCAGGAAGAGTCTTTGTGGCAATCCAGTTGGGATGCGATGGCAAATTGCAGTTGCGCTTGGGTAGCCTGCAGGCCCTGATTGGAATAGCTTTCAATCCACAAAAGAACAATCACCTGAGCAGCGTAGAAAAAAAGATAGAAAAAAAATAATCTAATTCTATATATATTTTGGAGATGCAAAAAAAAGAATATAGAAATAATATAAAACCATATAAATCAAATTTCAAAGATTCAAGAAAAATATAGGACCCAGAAATCTTGCCTTTTTCAATTAAAAAA